AGGGATCTTGATCGGATCGTTTTTTTTTACGTTTGAGATGTTCCCGCATCACTGTGGTGCTCCCGTGCCAATGCGTGCCATGCAAGTTCGATTTTACACAGTTTGCAGGTAACACACTTTTTACTGTTGTTTAAAGTGAAGTGCTCCCACGCTGTTGAAGATTTTAGTCGGACCGTGCTTCTCTACGGTTCCGCAATTTTTCTAATGTTTTTTTTCTTCGAGTGACGTAGCCAGCTTCGCAAACAGAGAGTAACAACATAGACCCAACAAATCAACGACTGAATTACTTGGCAACTAATTTGGTCGTCGATTAGTTGTTTCACCCCTAATGAGCAGGATGGATACTCGATGTTCCGATTTTCACCATACTGTCAAGAGTACACTTAGATGTAGGTACAGCAGGACTCAACCTCATATTAGGCAACAATAATAACTCTGAGCATTGTGAAAAGAAAACAGTCTGAGAACCTGAACACACCCCGACACACAACTTGTCTATTTAAGACAGATGGTTGAAGACGAAAGGCTGAACGCAGAGCGGAAACATGAAAAAGAAGACCATAGTGTGAGACACACCTTCAATGGAAGGTTTAATAAACCTCGCTGTCGGATGTTTCTGGTGTCAGTTTCATGTCTGTGTGTCAAGTGCCCCTTTTCTACCAAACCGGATCCGGTTCAAGAACGGTTCTTTTACTTTTCTGGTGGTGAGCCGGTTCTTCTCTGTAGCACCACTTGTGTTTCCACTGCTCAGAGCCCGACTGGTGCTGCCGCTGCTGCGTCATGACATCACTGTTTACGTCGGTTTACGTTTCTCCCAATCTCCGCACACAACAACAACAATGAAGGACTGCGTCGGGTCGATTATCGTGTTTCTTTTAATCATACGAAGCCAGATTAAATTAAATACCTACTTCTCAACCCTTATACTTTTCTCCAGAGTGCCGTGGTTTTTTGTTTATTAATGTGGTTCAGCGGCATTTACCGACCACTGCAGTGCTGCTCGTCCACCGGAGTTTAGTCTACCTTTAACCTACTGCAGCGTCCGCTGGAACGTATTCACTGTCTGACACAAGCAGCTGATAAATATCCCACCCCCCCTTAAGTGAATGTGTTTCAGTATGAATTGACGCTGTTTGGCATCACAACGCTGTTATGAAAGTTTCTCTGATATAAAATGGGTGATGTTAGCATAGCAACCAAAGCTAATCTGACTATGACTACTTGTTGCTATCCTATTGTGGCATAAGCCGTTTTCTACAGGCACATTTTACCGGCGTATTTTTCAAAACAACAGGAAAACGTCTGCCTGGCCTGCTCTCCACAATGATCAATAACAGCGAACGGAAGGTCAAAGTAAGGTACAAATAAACAGTATCACACGAAGCCTGGTTAGTGTTGCCTTCAGGACTGGCTCTAGACAAGTTGCAGCCCTAGGCCAGATTTTAGCTTGCGCCCCAGCCAGAGAATTGTACAGTAGAAAAGATAAAGATCAATAGAGTATCCAAGGAATACACAATATAATGGGGGATGGACGTCACATCCTGTAGGGGGGTCCGGGGGTATACCCCCCGGGTAGATTTTTTTAACATTTTAAAGTAAAATGCCTCAATCTGGTGCAGAGTTACTACTAGATCTAGGGGGTACAACTCTAAAACACCCATATGAAAAAGATCGGTTTACCTTTTAATAATCAAATAAGTATGTGAACATAGCCAATAACAAATAAATGTAACTTATTTTATTTTTGTTATATATCTTATTTTACCTAGATAACATTTATTTATTCATGCATATTTTTTTATCTCTCCAGTTTTAAACGATATTTTTGTGTTACTGTCCTATAGTATACATTGGAATGATTTCAAACCTGTCCATCCCAATAATTATAAAGGAGTGCCTTGGAAATATGTGTTTACATAAATTGTGATCAAAACGTTTGAGACCCACTGAGATAACTTAGACTAAAGTGAACTATCTAAACAATCAGTCCTTTACCTCACTAAGCTGTAGTTATCAGCCTTTCAGTCTGACTGGAGAGGACTCTCCCTCCACATCATTGTAGAAACAGCTTCTTTTATCCGTTAGAGCAGCTAGCACCAGATGCTAATAACTACAGCGCCGGTACCGGTGCACCCTCCCTCTCTTCCACGCTCAATCGCCCTTTGGCTGTGAGCTGCGGGCGCCTGATAAGCCAACATCCCCCATTTTCATCACTTACAGCGCCCATCGTACAGGGCAAATTAAACGTGTAACTGGGGTGAAAAGGGTGTTACATTTACTTAATTATGAATGTTGTTACATCAAAATCGGAAGCTATTGGTACCTGTTTCTGTGGATAATTATGTAAATGATGCTGTATGATGTCCTTTTGTTGTTCTATTTATGTTTGTATGTTTCATGTGGAACTACTTGAGCAGGTCTCCCTTGAAAAAGAGATCAATGATCTCAATGGGATTTATCTGTATAAATAAAGGTTTGAAATTAAATGAAAGGCCGAAAATTAGGATGAGCATCAACGGTCAAAAATGTTTTTCTACCAGTGCAGCGCATCCCCAGATCTGTCGCCCATAGGCGAACATCTATAACGCCAGTGCTACGGGCCGGCCCTGGTTGCCTGACTTTATAAAGTGTGTTTTTTTGTATTTGTGTGTGGTCGCGTTTATAGTCACTTTGCTCAGCGTTACTGCTTGTTACTTTCATTTGACGTCCTGCCATAAACTGTTATTTATCAGGTTAATCTCGCCCCCCTCCGACGTAAGCGTGAAGTATTGGTTCTTGGTTCTTGCCAGGCAGCCGAGTGGGGTCAGCTAAGAACCGGTTTTCGGTGCTTAGAGGCGGCTCCGCTGCGGTGGAAACAGGAAAAACCAAAGCTTAATCAGGCTCTAGCCCGGAACTGGCTCTGGCACCGGTTTGGTGGAAAAGGGGCAAAGGACAATCTTAGCTTAGCTTAGAATAAACACTCTCTTGCACTTTATTTAGCTCTTTTATCTTCTCTTGCACTTTATATGTCGTAGCTGCTACATTGTGCTGCCATGTGGTTAATGATTGTATATGCTGCTCATGCTCTTTCTGCATATCATGTATTTATTGTTGCTATGTATATCAATTAGGGCTGTCAAACGATTAAAATGTTACATCAGATTAATCACAGCTTAAAAATTAATTAATCATGATTAATCACCATTCGAACTATGTCCAAAATATGCCATTTATTTATGTATATTGTTGTGGGAATGGAAAGATAAATGAAAGAAGGCGGATATATCCATTTAACATACAGTATCTATGTTTATTATAACATTGTTCTGTGTGTCAAAATGAAAGACAGCCCACACACCTATCAATCATCAAACCGTGGGGTCTTATTTCATTACGTGTTGATTTATATCAACACGTAATGTTGTATCGATGTAGAGATGTACTATAGCAAAAGTATTCTCCGTCGGGACTTCCTGCAACAACATCACGCCGTTATCTTGATTCTGATTGGCCAGAAGACATTATCAAAGATGTTCTATTGAGAAGACGATCACTACGTGACAAAAGTTTTCAAAACAGTTTCTGGTCTTCGGTATTTCCAGACAAGTGGCTACTGAAATCAATCTTACTAACTGCTGTCTGTGCAATTTACTCCGCGAGTTGGCAGACTTTATTTTGCTTACTTTAACATCATTTTTCATGGTGGGGCTAAGCCATTTCTTGGTATGGCTGTAGCCTATACTCCAGCCATACCCTGGCGCTGCCACTGGTGGGATGTATGGGGTGGGCCATTCTGCGCGTTAAATATTTAAACTAGGGCTGTCAGTCGATTAAAATATTTAATCGCATGATTGTCCATAGTTAATCACAAATTAATCGCACATTTTTGATCTGTTCTAAATGTACCTTAGAGGAATATTTTTCAAGTTTTTAATACTCTTATCAACATATGAGTGGACAAATATGCTTTATGCTAATGTTTATTACCATTTGAACAATGACAAATATTCTCATGAATATTAAACACAACAACCTCTGAACATTACAAATATTCGCCTCAATTCAACCTGGAACCTCTCTCATACAATAATACAATACAAAGTGTGTGTGTCTGTGTGTGTGTGTCTGTGTGTGTCTGTGTGTGTGTGTGTGTGTGTGTGTGTGTGTGTGTGTGTGTGTGTGTGTGTGTGTGTGTGTGTGTGTGTGTGTGTGTGTGTGTGTGTGTCTGATGGATCGTTGGAGCTATGTGCAAGTCAAGGCATATGCTCGAACGGGAGCTGCCTGGACGCTGCAATCATGTTGCGCACTATCCGTGCTGAGTGTGCTGACTTTTCGTACAATGTCCCACTGTCTGGCTGCCTGCATAAAGTCAAGTGCTCGGCGCAGTTGTGGCGAAATGTCGCTCCTCTGTTTTCATTTAAACAGCTCCTTATATCCGTTAGCGCAGCTAGCTAGCACCAGATGCTAACAACAACAATGCACGTAAGGTCTCACTCTCGCTAGCTCGGGCCACACATACACACACCCTCCCGGTGCCTGCCGGTGAGCGTGGAAGTGTGGTCTGCCACAAGCGGGCGGCAAGAGCGGGGCTGTCAGCATCAGCTTGTAGATGGTATTTTAAACTCGATGCGCTCTGAAACTACGGGGCGGCCGAGGAAAAACAATACACATGCATTAATCGCGTTAAAATAATTAGTGGCGTTAATTTTTTTTGTTATTAACGCGTTAACTTGACAGCCCTAACTTTAACGCAATTAATTCAACAAATTAATTACCACCGTTAATGCGATAATTTTGACAGCATTAATATAAATGTCATGTTCTTAAATGTTGTATGTGAGGGACTACGGATGGAAAGTAGCTAAAAGCTCAAATCCGGCATATTTACATTTTGAAGCATTAATTGTTACAAATATTCATAAATGTGCATTGTCCCTCTTCAAATAAACGATTAAATGAAATGGAAGCACAGTTAAAGTCTAGGGGGAAACTGTTAGCCTAAAGACTGCTTGTGTTTTCAGTGTCTGAGGCGCAGTATTACGACTTAACCGCGGCTCCAGACTACGAGGACTACAACGGCACGTTCGAGTACAGCTTCTACAGTAAGTCACATCATTTCCACCATATAACATTTATCATGTGACACACAAATAGGGAAAGATTGTTTTAGATGTTTGCTAAAATATGATGCAGATAAAAGATTTTAAAGGAGGTGTTGCTGTGGTGCGTTCAGGTAACACCAGCATCGAGGACCTGGACAAGTTCAGTGAGCGGTTCATCGAAATGGAGGGCGAGGAAGGGGAGGACACGGGGGGACAGCAGCAGGAACAGGATGTGACTGTAACCATGGCAACTACCCGAGTCACCACGGAGCAGGGTTGGCAGGAACAGGATGTGACTGTAACCACGGCAACTACCAGAGTAACCACGGAGCAGGGTTGGCAGGAACAGGATGTGACTGTAACCACGGCAACTACCCGAGTAACCACTGAGCAGGGTTGGGTCAAAGGTCGTAACACCGCATCACTTCCTGTTTCTCTGGTGAGAACCAGCTGACCTCTTTATACTGGACTGCGTAACCTTAAACCAAAGTTAGACTCAGTCAAACCAGGTTCAGTTAAACCTAAGTTAAACTTCAGTTGAACCTAAGTTCAGCCAAGTTTCATTCAACCAATTGAGCCCCGAGCCTGTTTTTCAGGCCTCAGTCTTGAAAACGACATTCCCAGAACAAATGACCATATCTTCCCTTCTAAAAGGGGTAAATTAATAATCTTTGTTCTCAAAGCAATGATAAACCTGTGAGTTGGATGTAGAAAAGTCAGAGTCAATATAGAATAATAAAGTAAATTCAGATTGTGAACGGACAAAAAGACGTGCTGCAGGCACGAAACATAATACCAATAGAAATACATTGCTTTTAAAAATCTTTCTGTGTGACATGAAAAAAAGGGGGAAATTGTGTTGATGAACACGAATCAATAGATTAGATGTTGTGACTAGAACACGAAATGCTGTGAGACTGGGTTGAATCAGCAGTGCTCAGACTCTCTCCCGTGTCTGCAGCAGCTGGCTGATCCCCATGTGCTCTCTTCATATGCTGAACATTGATGCATATTTTGAGTAAGTTGTGATGATGTTTATTTGTGGCTTATCTTTATCCTGCAAAGCAATGTTTGATTGTTGTACCAGAGCATTTTAGCCCTTCCTGATTTATATTTGTGTTTTATGTGTAGCCCTAAAATCATCACCATCACCTTCACCATCTACAGAGATGGTCTACTGCAGGGATGGGCAACTTGGATGGTGGTGGGGGCCACATAATTTATGTACTGGCCACCAGGGGGCCGCAGATTCACTTGGAACACACACACACACACACACACACACACACACAAATTCCATGTATTGTATGTAATTATTAACAAACATACTAAGTCTGACATCTTCATTGACATTTTACAATCTTTCAGGGAACATCCTCTAATAAGCTCACTAAACAAATATCAGTTCACAGAAATGCTATTTAATTTTTACAAGTGGCATGTTTGTATTGAACAGGTTATTTAACAATGGAATACAACTATTTTAAACTATTGGAAAGCACGGACAATGTGTGTGCATTAAGATGAACCATTAAGATGACATAAGCATGAAGTCATGAACACTAACCCAGGCATTAGTTGTCTAAATTGAACCTAAGACACTTGTAGCCTGTCTCTGCTGTTCCTCAGTGCAGCCCCCCTCCCTCCCCCTGAAATTATGAATGAAAAACGTATAGTAATTGTGGAGGAAACTTCTGTGTAGCAATGCAGTGGGAGTCACCGACTCATGAAGAAGACACGGGATGAGCGGGAGCTTTGATGTCAAATGCTGATGGCTTATTTGGAGTTACGGCCGGAGAGTTGACGAGACAGGTGGTGTTTCACGAGTTGACACAGCGGTTGCCAAACCAATTCTGAAGAACTCTTCTGCAGCTCAAGGTTTTATCTAGTTCGGAGTGTAATAATCAACATTCCTCATCAGTGAGACTAAACAAATATGGACCCTGAATCTAACTAGAGCTCTCGTCCATAGAAAAGAATGCGCGCCAGGGAACCTTCGTCCCTGAACAGTAAATTACCTCATGGCGGCTTGTGCTCTGTCATAGACTGGCAACAACAATGCGCCCAAGCTGCCTTTCCTTAACCCTCCGGTATCACTGTGGACGTTTTTGTCCATATGGGTCATTTTTCACTTTTCATTTTGTAATAACTTTGGTTGTGTTGGTGCAAATGGCCTGATTTTTTGTAACAAGGCTATTTTCTTGATCTATTTTGGAATTCCAGTTTCAATTTTTGAAATCGGTCTTTAATTCACTGTGTAACAAATCGACTACGCAAATTAGTCATTCGAGACAAAAATGTCCACTGCAAAATGCTTTGATAAAAATATTATATTAAAAGGTTTTTTTCCCAACTTTTTTGGGTTCAATCTTTAAAGCAACTTCCGCCCTAATAGAAAATATCAAAAATGTAATCACTTTCAGGATTTTAACCCTTTAAATGCCATTTTGAATACATGAAACCGCTGTTTTTTTTCATGATGAAAACAGAGAAAATGTGTTATTTTCCAAAAAATACATATCTGGGGACTGGCTCTTTTTTTTATAACAGTCTTGGATATATCAAAGATTAGCAACAAAATGGATTTTTTTTGCATTATTAGTTTTTGCACAAAATCAGATTGAACAAAAAAGTTACAAATTAGTCATTCGGGACAAAAATGTCCACTTCCAAAAACTGCTCTTAAATGACAACAGATTAATATTTTAAAAAACTTTTTGGGGTTAAATCTTTCAATCAACTTCAGTCCTGATCAAAAATACCAAATGTTAACTTATGTTCAGGATTTTAACCCTTTAACTGCCAGTTTGAAAACATGAATTTGCGTTTTTTATGGAAAACATGCACAAAAAGGCAGTTATTTTCATTATAATAAATGTTGGGGGGGGGTCGGCTTTTTATTTTTTTTAACACAGTCTTGGATATGTCAAAGATTAGCAACAACATTTATTTTGGTTGATAATTAGTTTTTGCACAGAATCAGATTAAACAAAAAACTTACAAATTAAGTTGTGAAAAAAACCTTTTAATATAATATTTTTATCAAAGCATTTTGCAGTGGACATTTTTGTCTCGAATGACTAATTTGCGTAGTCCAATCGAATGATACCGGAGGGTTAAGAGAGATAGCAGCAATACCCAAGGCCGTAGACATATGCCATGGGAAAGGAGACAGCGAGAGGAGAAAATAATGAACTGTGTCGAAGGTTGAATACCTAGGCAAATTATTCCCTAACAGTAATCATAGATAACATGGCAGGGTCCGTCAAAGTTTGTTTTCATCTGATTTAAAATAAACAAAGTCTTGTTTTTAATATATATATATATATATATATATATATATGTTTGAATAATATTTTTTAATATTAAACTTGTTTTGCCAAATTCAGATGATAAATACAACTTTAAAGTTTGTAAAGGCATAATTACAAGCGGTAACTTAACGTCAGATATAACAACACAACACATGTTAACACATGTTGTCATAATAACAGCCGGTGTTTCTTGTGAGTGTTTCCCCGGGAAACAAACACAATACACACAAACGCGTATGCCCCTCCCCCCTCAGGGCTACTACAGGTCACGGGTTGAGGGACCCTCCTTCCCCCAACTTCAGCAAGGAAGACCCCCACGACTATGCAATGCTTAAGATGGCTCTCAGTGCTTCTCAAAGTGTGGTCCGCGGACCACTGGTGGTCCGTGAGAGCCCCTAGTGGTCTGTGAGTATATTGGTAACATTTCACATTTGAAATAAATAAATACATTTAAGTTTTCCGCACTCTCGCGCGAATATTTCCGCAATGGAGCGAGCTTAAGTGTGACTTTTCATTGCATCATATAGCCCAGCGCAACACCTTCATCATACATGTTGCCACTTCTTTGTACCAGTTTCAGGCGATTTGTAATCTGTTCTAGAAAAACTATGTGTTTTTGGATATTTGTGGAGTTAGGTGGTCCGCGAGTGTTTTTTTATTGGTTAAGTGGTCCTTGGTATGAAAAAGTTTGAGAAACACTGCTCTAACCAACCTCCTACCTGCTTGGGAAACCAAAGTCTACAAGTACCACATTATTTTGGACCATCTTAAGGTACCCTCGGCCAGATTGCATTTGCACATGACCCACAACCCTTTACTAAATCTTTAGCTGCTTTAGACCTTCAGTTTGGCCAACCACACCATTTAGTAATGAGAGAGATATCCACTGTAATATACCTGCCCAGAATCCAAGCTGGCAATTCTAAAGCCATTCACAGCTTTGCAGTTACGGCCCCTACACACGGCGGCGTGCGTTGCCGCTTGGCGGTGGGCGTGTCTTGAGCTTGGGGAGTCAACGCGAGCAACGCGACCAACAACCAATCACATGAATGTCCTGCCCCGGACAAACAAAGCAAAGCATTCATGCTACATCCATGCTGGCTAAATATACTGTCTATGCTTGCTAGCTGTCCATTCAAACGAAGTACACTGGATATAAACTCCCCAAACAAGCGAAAACCTACCAGTTTCACCCACTGTCTCTGCCACCTCCACCCATGCCTGGCTCCTCCGGTTTGTATCCCTGTATGTAAAGAGGGACTGGTCATAGAGTACCGGGTGATTCCCTACCGCCACGATAATTTTCTCCTCCATTTTTTGACATATGGGAAATAACTGCGGTCTGGCTCTCCCAACATACACGCGGTTTGATTGGCTAGTGCTTGTACTGTCAGATTTGCATACGCGGGATTTGATTGGCTGACACCTCCGTCGAGGCGGCAAAAGTAGAACATTGCTCTACTTTTGCAGGGAGCACCGCGAGAGAAGCTACGCTTTGCTCCCGCAATGCAGTTCGGCGAATCGTGACGTCACCCCATTCAAAGTGAATGGGCAGAAGCGTTGAAGCGGCAACGCACGCCGCCGTGTGTAGGGGCCGTTAGAGTCCAATCCCTAGTGGGTATGCTGCAAGCAATGGGACAGAGTGCAGGAGCAGCTGAGCTCTCATGTTCTTCTCATGTTCAACAACTCCTTAGTAAGCTGTTTGCTGACTCGGTTGCCAACTTTATACGCTATGCTTGTTCAGTCCTTCGAGTTACCCACTACACCTTGGTGGGTTTCGCTACATGGCTCCAGGGTGAAGCAGAGTGTCAGTCTGTGGCAGCTCAAGTCAAGGATTTGAATCCGGAACCCCAACCTAGAAGGTTAGCGCCAGGATATGCCCCTACAACCGCCACTATACTACACTATCCCCAACCACTATGTTACATCACATGCAGGAAACCCTCGGCAAAACCCCAGAGCCTGTCCATACTGTCACTCACATAACCATTCAATAATCAGATGCAAAGAGCTGAAAGAGCTGAGTACAGAGGATGTCAAATCCTGGATCAAACAGGAGAAGAGGTGCTGGAGGTGCGGGGGATCACACATGGCCCTACAATGTATAATAAGAAGCCCATGCCCACTTTGCAACGGGAAACACCTGGGCGTTCTACACCAGGCTAACCTGGCAGAGCCGCTCGCGGGGGGTTTAATCTGCGCGCGAGGGTCATTTTATGCGCGTGTAAAAGCACATTTTCCGCTCGTGAGTAGCTTGTTTTACACGCTAGAATATTGACCCAAATCTGACTCCATAGGTACTTCCTGGAGAATGCCCTGTAGCAGATAAGATGATATTTGCCCTCTGCTGCAATCAAGTCATTGACTCCTGCAAGCTTGCATCTCAATACTGTGTCTAGCTGAGCCAGCTGAAGAATATTTTCTGATGTGCGTAAGACTTGAATAGTGTGGAGGTTTTCCTGAGACTTATCCTCCTGACAAAAAATGCATTTTTCCCAAATGACTAGAGCAATTGAACTTCTAGTGGGACGAGGGCAGCTTGCAGGTTCCAGTGTGTCCTTAGTGTTTTCAAAGCGCTGCTTAAGACGATCAATGACAACGGCATGGGTAAAATCAGCATAGCATGTCTTGTGTCACTGGACCTCTTCGGCTTTTGTGTCCAGGAACTCCTGAATCCGATCTAGAGTATCAACATATTGTACATCTTTGTATTTTACTCATTCACTTGCTCGAAGTTTAATGCATTTCAGTCCATCCTCAGATGCTTTTCTTAGTAGTTTATCTTGCCTGTTTTTCCCATAGTCATGTTGACAAGTAAAGCATTTTTCCCAATTAATATCATTTGCTATTCTTCTTCTTTTACTCACTACAGCTCCCTCTGGCTTCATATTGGCTCATCTGAAAGGCAAATACATAGTATCACTACTCTAGTCTCTATTCTTGTGAGGAGAAATTAAAAAGTGGATCACTGCAACATCTTTAGCTATACATTATCTCAGGAGCTGGCTAGCTAACCAGCAGATTTAAACTTCTAGTGTTCTATATACATGTGTAATAGATGCTATAGCTATTTTACCGGTACACATTCTCACAAAAACTCATGTGCACACAGTACTCCTTAATTTGACTGTTGGTGAAGTGAAAAATTGAGATGGAAAATATGGAATGATCTGTGCTGCTAGCTAGCTAGCAGATGGGCTAGCTAGCTTGTAGATGGAAAAAGGTTTAGCATACCTGTTTTTTTGGCAACACTTGGTGGTCGAATCCGGAGGTAACTGTTATTTAGTCGACAATATCAGACTCAAACTATGTATTATCTAAAATACCACCCATTAGTTTGAACTGTATAACTATTTTGCTTCACTGACATTGCTGCTGTGTTTTGCTTTGTATTGTGGTAGGCTATGATATTGTTTTACCATTGGTTGATTTTTTTTAATCAATAGTTAAGATCATACTTTCACAGGAGATATAATGAGGGATAATATTACAAAATTGTTAGAAATTACAGAGCAAATTGTCACTAATTTGGCAGCATTGTGAAAAAAGGTCCGATTTTACCACTTACAATGATACAATGATTAAATGACCAAAACAATCATTTTCAAAGTTGTCAACATAGCTAGGCCATATGTCAAGGGGTTAAACATGAATACTGGATAGGTTTACAGCTTCTACCCAAAAGCGATTACTTAAGTTGCAATATCAGTGTTGGCCCCCTGACTAGTATAGTGGGTGGAGCCCTGATGTATACGCGCACTGTCGTCCAACAACACCATTCCACCCTCCTGCCCCTGACCGGCTTTTCTGGTCAGCAGCTGCTGCCCCACATTCTCCTTTAACCCGGTTGTGACCGAGGAGAAACCTGGGCTGCGGCTGACAGAGCACACCCTGCTGCACTTACCTCGCAGACAGTGTGCTCAAAAAACAGTGCCGGGGGACCCCCCCCCCCCCCCGCCTATAGACGGATGGGGAGAGCCCCCTCGGCCCTGTATGGGCTTACTACGCACCTGCCTCCCTGAATCCCTAAGGATAAAAGGGAGAGCGCCAGCGCCCATGCCTCACACTCAGGCACTGACCCCGTGCAGAGTGTCCCGTAATGGGCCAGCGCGCTCCTTGCCCATCCCGGGACCCTCAGAGGGCGAAGGCACATCACGTCCGGGGAGGGGGTCAGATGTCAACTGATCCACAACCCCCCCACCCCCCCCCCCTACAAATCCTGTGTTGCCCCAGCAAGCACAGACGAGGAGAAAGAGCCAGACATGTCCGAGAGATAAAACCTTATGAAGGGGCATGGCGTCAACCAAGACGCCGCCGTGCATATATCCTCCACACTCACACCGTTGAATAAGGCTGTTGACACAGCCACAGCCGGTGTGGAGTGCGCACGAACCCCCGTAGGGCAGGCTCCCTGCCTGTCCGTAGGCATGTGCAATGCACTCGCAGAGCCAGCCTGCCAAGCGTTTCTTGGACAGAGCTTTCCCGATCACACCGCCCCCGAAGCACACAAACAGCTGTTCAGTGCATCTAAGGGCAGCTGTACGCTCCACATAACAAGCTAGCGCACGCACTTTGGCCTGTAACAGGCTGTGGTGGATCCAGCTCTAGCTGCCTGGATAGACTGAATAACACTGTCAGATAATCCACCCTGTCTCAGCCTGTCCCTCTCAGGAGCCAGGCCTGGAGAAGTTGTCCGAGAGTGGGTAACGCCCCGATTGCACCTGCCTCTTGAGACATCGCCCCCCAGAACTGGGGAACCGCCCAGGGCTGGCCCACCTTCATCTGTGTCATTTCTGAGTACCACGGCGCCCCGACAGACGGCTACGTCTATAGAAGTCTCAGTGGGAGAATGCACGCAGGATAAGGTAGTACCCATAGAGTCCAATAGAGGGCGGAGCCTGTGAGAGATATAACACATCCTAACAGATGAAATCTGCATTTATGAATATTAGATCAACTTCATAACGAAATCAGTAGAATATACCAACCAATCTGTGTTGTATTAATGATACGAAGAGACACATATTAGGGAATGAATCTCGTTCTCCTCACAATAATTATAACACTTCAAGTTTCTATTTTCCTGTGAATATAAATATGATCTCTGATGATGTGTTTAATATCTGTAGGAAATCTGGAAGCTCGTCTGGACTCTGATGATTCTGATCAGCCTGCAACACACACTGTGAGGACACACACACACACACACACACACACACACACACACACACACACATCACCTGTCCGTCAAACTTTGTAGAGTCACTCTGTTGTTTCCCTAAAAAGAAAGAAGAAAACTAATGAATGGGGAAAGAAAAGTAAGAAAAGGAAAGGAGGAGTAAGGAGAATGTATAAACATAATACAATAAGCTAGAATACATACTGTACAGTATATATATATATATAGCTGCATCTCAATACATTTGTGGAAAAGTTAATTAATTCAATTACATTTTTCAAGGTGGAACTCATATTATATAGATTAATTTCACACAAAGTGAATTATTTCAAGGGTTTATTTGTTTTAATCTTGATGATTACGCCTTACAGCTAATGAAAACCCCAAATTCAGAATCCCCGGAAATTTGAATATTAAATTAGTCCATTACAAAAATGTACTTTAATACAGAAATACAGAAAGTATGTTCATGTTTCTGCTCTCAAATTCTGCTCTCAGTACTTGGTTGGGTCTCGTTTAGCATGAATTACCGCCTCCATGCCGTCAGCCTGTGGCTCTGCTCTCAACTTCCTCTTGACAAAACGGTGGGTTACGTATTGTAACCTTAGTTCTACAAGCACAGGCGGAGCCCTCTACTGGACTCTATGGGTACTACTCTCATCAATGATACGTGAGCGTTCACACACTGAAGTTGTATAAACGTAGCTGGCCAATCAGGGCGAGCCTACCTGAATGTGCGCGCAGGCCTATAGTATATAAGGTGGCTAAGCCTCCAGTCTGTCATCCTACACCCTCTTCAGCGAGCGGCATAGGAAAGACAGGGCCCCTAGGTAGAGGGGTCTGAGTGTCGCCCTGATACGGTCACCACGAACCAGAAGGCAACTCGGGTGCACCGATAGAGCGGTCAGCTCGCATACTCTCTTGGCAGAAGTTAAAGCAAGCAGCAAAGCTGTTTCTTTTTGCTTCTCTCTTTCTCAATGATAGCGCCTACAGGGAGGAGAGCTCCAGAGGCTCAACGGTTCTGTAACCGAAGCCTCGAGCACCAATGGCAGTTCCCATTGCGGGGTGGAGACCTGCACCACTGGGCGCTGTCTCCTGATCCCCTGCAAAAACGCTTCATAAGCGGTTGGCTAAAGACTGGTCTTCCGCCAAATCCCGCATGACAGGATGAGATGGCTGCTGCATACACCTTGACTGTGGCATGAGCAAGCCCCTGGTCCACCAGTAGCTGTAGCCAGTATAGAATAGAGCCCAATGTACCGGACAGAGGCTCTAGACTCCCTTCCTCGCACCATGTCTGTCTCTCCTCTGACAGAGTGGCACGTAGCCTGCCCTCCTTCTCGATGGGGCGTACACCTCGCTCTCGATGGGGTGTACCCCTTGCTCTCTATGGGGGCTGCATCTGGAGCAAAATCCCCAGATACCCCATCTGCTGGGACTCCTCTTCTTCCAATTGACTGCAAACCCCCAACTTGGTTAGGTGTAAGATCAATTGGGCTGTGTGGAACATCTGCCCATTCCCTGGACCTGGCCATGGTCTATGAGGTCGTTGAGATAAAATATAACCCTCATGCCATGGTCGCGAAGCGGCTGAAGCGCTGTGGTTACACATTTGCTGAACGTGTGTGGGGACAGGGAGTAGCTGAACGGTAGTCTGTTGTACTCGTATGCTATCCCCTGGAAGGCAAAACGCAAATATTTCCTGTGTTTTGACTCTCTAGCAATTTTGACATGAAATGATGCATCCCTCAGGTCGATGATTTGTGGACCAATAGCCCGGCTGTACCAGTTCGAGTGACTATAGGAATCCCAACCACTTCGTCCTGTAACAGGCTGTGTTGGATCCCGCCCTTGCTGCCTGGATAGTCTGTATAACTTTGTCAGACAGTCCACCCCTTCTCAGCCTGTCCCTCTCAGGAGCCAAGCCTGGAGAAGTTGGCCCAGAGTAGGTAACGCCCCTAAGGCACCCGCTTCCTGAGACAGCGCCCCCGGAACTGAGGAACTGCCCAGGGCTGGCCCACCATCATCTGTGTCACTTATGTGTACCACGGCGACGAGCGGCGACCTGGGGCTACCAGAATGACCAACAATTATTCTCGTCTCGTCAGCACGGAGCTGGAGCAGAGGCCTGTCGGGACTGCGCAGCCTGTCCCCACGGGTGCCGGTATTGAGCCGGGGGGCCCTAGGAGATCATCACGGTCCTTCCTGGAGAGAGCCGTGAGTCCCAGCCAGACGTGGCGTGCACTATAGCCAGGGACATTACACGGCCAGCTGCAGCGGCCACACCATGGATCAGGTTATTCATCTGCCGATGCTGCGGTACAAATAATCGCTCCGATCCTGAGATGGAGAGGCAGGGGCGTCCTGCTGAGGAGTAATCAGCGAAAACGCCCAACACACCCAGATTATTCGCCGCTGCAGCCATCTGTGTTCCGAGCCGGAATATTTTATCAAAATATTCCAGCGTCTCTCGGTCACGAGGCAGAGGCTTTTTACCCTCCGCCCATCCTGCTGCCTGTGGGAGCAGATGGGCTTCCAGGCTCTCATCAAGGGGGGGTGAGATACGCTGTGTCCGTGCGGCCCTGCACCCTGAGGATCCCCCCCATACCAGCCACTGGAGCCTTCATCTTCAGCAGAGCCACAGGCTGATCGCCTCCATGTCACGCCACATGGAGGCAGTAATTCATGCAAAAGGAGGCCCAACCAAGTACTGAGTGCTTACACATGAACATACTTTTCAGAAGGCCGACATTTCTGTATTAAAAATCAGTTTTGTATTGGTCTTGTGTAATATTCACATTTTCTGATATACTGAATGTTGGGTTTTCATTAGCTGTGAGCCGCAACCATCAAGATTAAAACAAATAAAGGCTTGAAATAATTCATTTTGTGTGAAATTAATCTATATAATATATGAGTTCCACCTTTTAAATTAAATTACTGAAATAAATGTACTTTTCCACGATTATCTAATTTATTGAGATGCACCGGTGTGTGGGGCAAAAAAGTGTTTAGTCAGACACCAATTTGCAAGTTCTCCCACTTTAAAAGATGAGAGAGGCCTGTAATTTTCATCCTAGGTACACTTAAACTATGAGAGACAGAATGGGGGGAAAGAATCCAGGAAATCACATTGTAGGATGTTTAATGAATTAATTGGTAAATTCCTCGGTAAAATAAGTATTTGGTCACCTACAAACAAACAAGATTTCTGGCTCTCACAGACCTGTAACTTCTTCTTTAAAGGAATGGTATGCTCATGACACTCATTTTTAAATAATTATCATCCGATAAAACAGACCAGTCTCTGCCAGTCTCTCTTTTTTTTTTATTATCCGATGACATTATCAGTGATTTTAAACTGATTAATTACCAAAATAACATCAACACTGTGGGCGGCGCCATTTTACCGGACGTGACGTAAACCATGCGTTTGGTTCGAGGACACGTTGATGTTCATGTTATTTACTGTAGTTACTCTCTTCAAATATGCCTCATTGTATCGCGAAACATTGCCACAATTCTGATAGGAACAATCCACGGAATGCTCGGTTCCATCTGTTGCCAAAAGGTAAGCGTAGGAAGTACGTTCGGAGGCAGTGGCTAGCGAAATGTGGCCGGCCCGAACCGAAAGATCCACAGGCGCATGTATGCAGCGAACATTTCAAGTTTTCGGACGACTACTCTGAGAGTATGATAAAACATAACATGGGATTTATTGAACAACCATTACTTAATGGAGATGCAGTACCATCGGTCTTTCTGGTGTCATCACCGACCAGGACACCAGTTCGGCCAGTTGAGAAATCGCCCTCTGCAAGTGTGAAGCGACGGAGGACCAGAAGTAGTGCTCGGAGTAAGAATAAGGTATGTTATAGCGCATTTCCATTGCAGCGGGTAGCCCCGTTTAAACGTCCTTTATCGTCCAGGCCAGGCCAGTTTTTGGTGGCCTTTCCATATAGCGTAGTACCGGCTAGCGGGTACTTTTCCCCAGTTTTTCCGGCCCCATAAAATCGTGGTTCTAGGTACACCATTCATGTACAGGTCTTCCTACTCGCCTCCCGAAATCAATTGCACGAGTAAAGGGATCGTCTCCAGCAAGATCACCGTGCTGTTCATCCTCATTGTCACTGTCCCTGGATTCCTGACGGTTCTGACTACTTGGCTCGAACCTGTATGGCTGAATTCTCCCATCCAATCTCTTCATATTGCTCAAAACTTCTTCCTCGGCTGACGAGTCCGAACTCAAATACTCCGCCATGTTTTCGTGTGTTTACAAAGTGAACGCATGGATGACGTCACGACCATCACGTGACTACTGAAAATGGCAAAAATGGCAGCGGCCTGACAGAATATACAGGTTTTGATAAAAAAGAGCTATAAAATCATTATGTACCGGGGAATATCGCTGATTTCTTCAGGGTATGTTTTAAACATAATGTTTCACTAAATACTGAAGTTTTGATTAATTATCTAATGAGTGGAGTATTCCTTTAAGAGCCTCCTCTGTCCTCCACTTGTTAACTGTATTAATGGCACCTGTTTGAACTCGTTATCAGTATAAAATACACCTGTCCACAACCTCAAACAGTCACACTCCAAACTCCACTATGGCCAAGACCAAAGAGCTGTCAAAGGACACCAGAAACAAAATTGTAGACCTGCACCAGGCTGGGAAGACTGAATCTGTAATAGGTAAGCAGCTTGGTGTGAAGAAATCAACTGTGGGAGCAATTATCAGAAAATGGAAGACATACAAGACCACTGATAATCTCCCTCGATCTGGGGCTCCACGCAAGATCTCACCCCGTGGGGTCAAAATGATCACAAGAACGGTGAGCAAACATCCCAGAACCACACGGGGGGACCTAGTCAATGACCTGCAGAGAGCTGGGACCAAAGTAACAAAGGCTACCATCAGTAACACACTACGCCGCCAGGGACTCAAATCCTGCAGTGCCAGACGTGTCCCCCTGCTTAAGCCAGTACATGTCCAGGCCCGTCTGAAGTTTGCTAGAGAGCATTTAGATGATCCAGAAGAGGATTGGGAGAAAGTCATATGGTCAGATGAAACCAAAATAGAACTTTTTGGTAAAAACTCAACTAGACGTGTTTGGAGGAGAAAGAATGCTGAGTTGCATCCAAAGAACACCATACCTACTGTGAAACATGGGGGTGGAAACATCATGCTTTGGGGCTGTTTTTCTGCAAAGGGACCAGGACGACTGATCCGTGTAAAGGAAAGAATGAATGGGGCCACGTATCGTGAGATTTTGAGTGACAACCTCCTTCCATCAGAAAGGGCATTGAAGATGAAACGTGGCTGGGTCTTTCAGCATGACAATGATCCCAAACACACCGCCCGGGCAACGAAGGAGTGGCTTCGTAAGAAGCATTTCAAGGTCCTTGAGTGGCCTAGCCAGTTTCCAGATCTCAACCCCATAGAAAATCTTTGGAGGGAGTTGAAAGTCTGTGTTGCCCAGCGACAGCCCCAAAACATCACTGTTCTAGAGGAGATCTGCATGGAGGAATGGGCCAAAATACCAGCAACAGTGTGTGAAAACCTTGTGAAGACTTACAGAAAACGTTTGACCTCTGTCATTGCCAACAAAGGGTATATAACAAAGTATTGAGATGAACTTTTGTTATTGACCAAATACTTATTTTCCACCATCATTTGCAAATAAATTCTTTAAAAATCAGACATGTGACTTTCTATATATATATATAATTATAATTAATTATTATTATTCCAGTCAGTGACATCATCAAGGTAATTATTATCATACTTTTTAACCCTTATTGATGTTTAGAAAAAACTAATCAGAGTTTTCTGTTTGTCTGTTTGCAGCTGATGTCAGTGGTCCTGGAGGGGGTCACTGTCCCCCGATTACCTTTGACCTCTGCAGAGGACCCATGCTCCCTTCAGCCAATCACAGTTCACAGACTCTTTGTATTCTTAGAAAACTTTTTCACTTTCATAATAAATAAAAAAATAAACGTGGATTTGCGTAAAAAAATAGTTTTTCGGGATTCGAGTGTTTTGTTTGATTTGAAATAAACAAAGTCTTGGCTTTCAGAATATGAAACTTTTATTTCCAAAATCACACGATAAATACATGTTTGAAGCTTGTAAAGGGAAGATGACAGCTCTTCCTCACCACTCTGCTCTTCCGCAGCGCCGCCCCCTTATTATGAATGTAAGCGTATAGTAATCATAGATAACACCGCAGGGTCCGTTACAGTTTGTTTTCATCTGATTTCAATTAAACAAAGTCTTGGCTTTCAGAATATTCAACTTGTTTCGGAAAATTCAGATGATAAATACAACTTTGAAGCTTGTAACGGCATAATTACAAGCGGAGAACGGAGTAACTTAACGTCACAGCAGGCATAACAACAGCCGGTGTTTCTCGTGAGGGTTTTCCCCGGGAAACAAACACAATACTCACAAACGCAAAAATACACACACACACACGTATACACACACACATACTCGCGAGCTTCCCCCAGACCAGTAATCCAAACGAAAATATCTTCCCTCCCTACTACTTTGATCATTTGCTCCGCTAATAATCAATCAGATCGATGGATTCCAGAGAAGAGGAAACTTTGAAGGCTTTTTTCTCAAAATGATGACTCGGTGACAGTCATTATATAATGTGACATATTTTGCTTAATATTTGGAGTACAAAAACAATCCTGATATCATTAGAAAGCTATGAATATCCTCTTTCCAGCAGTGTATACAACTCAAAATGTGTCTTCGGGTCAATGCGACTGATTTCGATGGAGCAGGTCACATATGTGAGATGATTTTTCCATGCACTTAAAATAACTCAAACATATTGTGTGTTAGCAACAAACTCCTGACAACAACAACAACAACTCTCCGCCCACACGTGTCAGTTCACTGCTGACCCTGCTTGAAGATTTTCTGACGTGCTCTTCAGTTAAACACAGGAGAAACACGTTTAGATCAGACGAAGAAAATCCCAGGATTGTTGAGACTTTAATGAAGCTGGACACAAAAACGTATTTAAAGAATATGAAATAAACTTTAATGTAGTGTGGAGTCTATTTGTATATAACATTACCAGAGGGATTCTTATTATTACATTATATGCATTATTGTGCTCATGAGATATTGTTATGACTATAACGGGTTTGATGCGAAACGAAGGGGACAGTCATGACAGTGTTTAGCTTGCAATACTAATATAGCAAAGCCAGGTGCAGACACTGTAAGAGGACAATGAGTTACTGAGGCTCTGGCCTTGGCCGTGTGGGTGAGTTTCACTCCCACGCATAGCTGGGAATCAGTATAACCAGGATTCCACTTTTTCTGTATAAACTTTAGCAAAAACAAATTACTAGGATAGTGACAGAGTAGGGAGGAACCTTCACAGGCCGGCCGAATGCTGATTGGAAGATCGTGTTGCCAAGAGACTTTTGTCTAAGTCTGCGCACCAACCAGGGAAGCCAAAGTCTAGACCATGGTCCTCCCCAACTAGTCTCAACCAATCATAAATGTACGGGCAAAGCCCTGTGTAATAAAATGTATTGACGCACAAGGTTCGAGGCTTTTTTATGGAAATAGTGGTTACAGATTACAGCTTTGCTGCCTGTGATTTCTGTGACCTGACGGAGTCCTTGGCCAAGTAATATATATTTTGCTCTCTTTTAATAAATAGTTGAACTTAGAAGTTGTTTGTCTTTCCTTGAATTTTGAACACAACAAAATGGCGACCCACGACGTGATTCCGAAGAGACGATTTGTGACTCACGGCTTCGAGTCCGAGGGACTGAAGGACGGCGGCGACCTCCACCAGATCCCACCAATACTCACAGGGCCAAGATCAAAGGTGAGCAGAAGCCTGTTGTATACTGCCAACATTCTGCATAGGTAGAAATAGGACTGATAAAAACTGTGAGTGAGGGGGGAGGTAATGTACAATATAGATAACTGAAATGTGTAAGGAGCAAAGGATATATTTCTTGTAAATGTGCATGTGATAACAGTGTCAGGGACACTTAAACGTCAGGGAAGTTGGCAAGTGTCGGGGACACTAAAATGTCAGGTACACTAAAACGTCAGGGACGTTGGGAAGTGTCAGAGACACTAAAGCATCAGGGGTGCTGTGAAAAGCTCCACCGCCGTGTGGAGGCTGTGTTTTGAGAAAAATTAAGAATAGGGCCAGTGATTAGATTTAAAGTAAGATAGGTATAGTAAGTGAAGACTTTCTGGGAGAGCCCATCGGCATAGGTTCAAAAGGGTCCCATTATCACCTACGTCATCAACAGCTCCCTCAAGGCTGGTCATGTTCCATCTGCTCTTAAAACTGCCGTCATCAGACCCCTTCTCAAAAAACCCACCCAAGACCCAGATGTCCTCACCAACTACAGGCCCATCTCCAACCTCCCATTTCTAATCAGGGTGCTGGAAAAAGTAGTTGCCGCCCAGCTTCAGGACCATCTACAACTAAACGGCCTCTTTGATAAATTCCAGTCCGGTTTCCGTTCCGCCCACAGCACTGAAACAGCTCTGGTCAAGGTCACAAACGACCTGCTGATGGCGGCTGAACCTGGTTCCCTATCTCTCCTCATCCTCCTGGATCTGACTGCAGCATTCAACACTGTCGACCATAACCACCTCCTTCAGCGCCTCCAATACACCAACGGACTCTCTGACTCCACCCTGAGCTGGTTCCAGTCCTCCCTGTCTGGAAGAACAGAGTATGTCTCCTTGGGAGGTGCGAGGTCCCAGACACACCCTGTCACCTGTGGTGTCCCTCAAGGGTCGGTCCTTGGGCCTACTCTGTTCACCCTGTACACTCTTCCCTTTGGCCGTGTCATCAGCAAGCATGGAATATAATTATATTGCTACGCTGATGACACGCAGCTATATATAAAGACAGAACCTATCCCACATGCTTCCTCACTGTCACCATCATCATCACCGTTCCCATCAACATTCTTTAACACCTGCATTGAGGAGATAACGGCTTGGATGCAACAAAACTTCCAGCAGCTAAATAGCTCCAAAACAGAAGCTATTTTAGTTGGCACCCCAAACCAGGTCCAGTCCTCCCCCATAACCCACATAACCTTTTCTGGACAAAACATACCCCTCTCCGCATCAGTTTCCAACCTGGGTGTAAGATTTGACAGACATCTGACCTTTGACACCCACATCAAACACCTGTGCAAAACCTCCTTCTACCACCTCAGGAACATTGCAAAACTCCGTCCCACACTCACACTGTCAGATGCTGAATAACTGGTCCATGCCTTCATCTCCTCAAGGCTCGATTACTGCAACGCTCTCCTCATCGGGACTCCTAGCGGGAGCCTTCAGAAGCTCCAATACGTACAGAACAGTGCCGCTAGGATCCTGATGAGGGTGAGAAAGTACAACTACATCACACCCGTCCTTCATTCCCTCCACTGGCTTCCTGTCTCATTCAGGATCGAATACAAGATCGCACTACTGACCCATCAATGCATCCACGGGAACGCTCCTCCATACCTGAAGGAACTTCTCACATCTCAAACCTCCACACGCAACCTCCGCTCCACAACCAACCATCTGCTTCGTCCCCCCAGGACCAAACTCTGCACAATGGGGGATCGGGCTTTCTGTGCAGCTGCTCCTCACCTATGGATTTCCCTCCCAGACCACCTGAGGACTCCACAGACCACCTGAGGACTCCACAGACCACTGACGCCTTCAAGAAAGGCCTAAAAACCTTTATTTAAAAAAAAGCTTTTGATTAAACTTTTGTTTATTTTTATTATGCCTCCTGTAGCACCTTGGGATTGCTGTTAGCAATGAAAGGTGCTTTACAAATCGAATGTATTATTATTATTAAAAAGGGTGATTATGTTAATTCAGTGACGGCTCCTTAATTGTCTCATTCCTTCCTATTAACTATACTATAATCAGTGGCGTTTTAATATGTACAAAAGTGGTGGGGCACAAACAAATTAGATGTCTATAAGCTTCTGCAGTGAGGTTCATGGCTGGTGAGGCACTGGCACTGACTGTTCAGGTTTACAAATATTATATTTTGACCTAAATCAAAATATAATATTATTTTCAAAAGCTTTTTTTGTCTGATGCTTCGATTAATTTTAAACAGACAGTTCAACAAAAGGATACCCAAAAAATGTAATGTTATCATTTAAATATTGAATTGTTCTCTCTTAAGGCCCTGTCACACTGTCCCGAAATTGACACCCGATGGACACACGATAAAGGAAATGTTCAAATTCGGCTGTGATCGTAGCAACATCGGGCCATTCGTGAGGGCATCTTAAGCCATCGTATGACCGCCGGTGGAGTTTCTCAGGCTCCGGCAGCAACTTCGTGAGCGGCAACTTCGTAAGGCACTCGTGAGGGCATCTTGTCAAATCGTGTCATCTTCGTGTTATCATCGGTGCATTCACCCTCACGCTGATCGGGGTGAATGCCCGATGGCACCGATGATAACAAGATGCCCTCACGATGGCCTTACGAAGGGCAAAATTGACACACGAATTCAACACGAAAATGAACCTTCGCAAGGTCCTTCGGCAATTTTTTGGCATGCCAAAGATTTTGCCACCGCTCACGAAGTTGCTGCCGGAGCCTGAGAAACTCCACCGGCGGTCATACGATGGCTTAAGATGCCCTCACGAATGGCCCGATGTTGCTACGATCACAGCCGAATTTGAACATTTCCTTTATCGTGTGTCCATCGGGTTGTTTTATTGCACAACAAAATCATGTAAATATATTATGTAAATAACCCAATTTGTGTTCTCTGAAACTAAAAAGGATATAATATATTATTTTGAAGGACAGTTGACAGGAAGTTGTTGTTGTTATGGAAACAACATTACGGAGGAAACGTAATATTTTCTACATATAACGATGGATAAAGTAAAGAACAAAGTCTGAAGATATCAGTACAGTATCATAGTACTGTAACATAATTGTTTTTGGTACTTTCGTTGCAGTTGTATGTCTTAAATGTAA